ACAGGTGAATGCTAGATGACTGAAGGATAACTATCATGGTTCCTTTGTTGAAGAAGGACAACAGGAATAATTACGACCAGTTAATTAAACACCAGTTAGTCTGACGCCTTTGGGAGGGGCATTATTGGGAAAAACTTCTGAGGGACAGGATTAATCAATACTCGGAAAGGTGGGAATTGATCAGGGATAGTCAGCATGGATTTAAAGATCACAGAGAGAGATTTTGTTTGACTAACTTAATTGAGTATTTTTGAAAAGGATATTGATGAAGGTGGTGCAGTTGATGGACTTCAGTAAGGCCTTTTTGACAAGGTCCCGCTTGGAAGGCTAGTGCAAAAGGTAAGAGCCCTTGGGATCCAAAGTAAGTTGACAAACTAGATCCAAAATTGGCTTACAAATTATAGAATACCTAGAGTGTAAAAAGAGGCCATTTGGCCAATTACGTCTGCACTGACCGTCGGAAGACCATCTCACCTAGACCAACCCTATCCCTGAAACTTGGCATTTACTATGGCTAATCCACCTAGCCTACACATCCATAGATAGTATGGATAATTTAGCATGGTCAATCCACCTGACCTACACATCCTTTGACTGTGGGAGGAAATCAGAACACCCAGAGGAAACCCACACAGATACAGTGGGGATGTACAAACTCCACATAGGCAGTCACCCAAGACTGGAATTAAACCTGCATCCCTGGGGCTGTGAGGCAGCAGTGCTAACCACTGTGCTCCCATGACACCCGAGGACAGGACTAGGAGCAAAGTATTGGAAACCTGTGACCAGCAGTGTACCACAGAGAATGGTGCTAGAAACCTTGCTGTTTGTTATGCACATTAATGACTTAGATGTGAATGTTGAAGGTACAATTAGTAAATTTGCAGATGACACAAAAAATGTTGGTGATGTTGATAATGAGGAGGATGGTCCTAGGCTAGTCTGGTGTTGATCAGCTGGTAGACCAATGGCAGATGCAATTTAAGCCTGAAAAATGCAAGGTGGTGCATTTTGAGAAGTTTAATAAGGAAAAGATATACACAATCCCTTTGGAGAACTGAGGAACAAACGGACCTAGTGTACAAGATCTCTGAAAGTGGCAGCACAGGTAGACAGGGTGTTGAAGAAGGCAAATGGGATGCTTGTTTTCATTAGCTGAGGTGTGGAATAAAGGAGCGAGGAAGTCATGTTACAACATTATAAAATTTTGGTTAAGCCACAAATGAAATACTGTGTACAGTTCTGGTCACCACACAATCAGAAGGATGTGATTGTACTGGAGAGGGTGCAGAGGAGATTCATCAGGTTATTTCCTGGGATGAAAAGTCTCAGTAATGAGGAGAGACTGTATAGCCTGGGTTTGTTTTCCTTGGAAGAGGAGGCTGAGGGAGGATCTAATTTAGATGTACAAAATTATGAGAGGCAAAGATAGTGTAGATTGTGAAACTCTTTTCCCATGGCAGATGTGTCTAAGACCAAAAGATACAAGTTTAACATCAGGACTAAATATTTAGAGGAGATCTGGGGAAAATATCTTCACCCTGAAGGTGGTAGAAATACAGAACCCGCTACCTAAAAAGGTAGTAAAGGCAGCTACCCTTGAAACATTTAAAAGGCATTTGGATTAGTACTTAAAATGTCAGGAACAAGTGCAGGTAAACAGGATTACTGTAGTTTGGGAGAGAGATAGTAGGAACTGCCGATGCTGGAGAATCTGAGATAACAAGGTGTAGAGCTGGATGAACACAGCAGGCCAAGCAGCATCAGAGGAGCAAGAAAGCTGGCGTTTCGGGTCTAGACCCTTCTTCAGAAATGGGGGAGGGGAAGGGGATTCTGAAATAAAGAGGGAGAGGGGGTGGCGGATAGAAGATGGATAAAGGAGAAGATAGGTGGAGAGGAGACAGACAGGTCAAGGAGGCGGGGTTGGAGCCAGTAAAGGTGAGTGTAGGCGGGGAGTTAGGGAGGGGATATGTCGGTCCAGGGAGGACAGACAGGTCAAGGAGGCAGGATGAGGCTAGTAGGTAGGAGATGGGGGTGGGGCTTGAGGTGGGAGGAGTGGATATGTGGGAGGACAGGTTAGGGAGGCGGCTACGAGCTGGGCTGGTTTTGGGATGCTGTCGGGGGAGGGGAGATTTTGAAGCTTGTGAAGTCCACATTGATACCATTGGGCTGCAGGGTTCCCAAGCGAAATATGAGATGCTGTTCCTGCAACCTTCGGGTGGCATCGTTGTGGCACTGCAGAAGGCCCAGGATGGACATATCGTCCAAGGAGTGGGAGGGGGAGTTGAAATGGTTTGCGACTGGGAGGTGCAGTTGTTTGTTGCAAACCAAACGTAGGTGTTCCACAAAGCGGTCTCCAAGCCTTCGCTTGGTTTCCCCGATGTAGAGAAGGCCACAACAGGAACAGCGGATCCAGTATACCACATTAGCAGATGTGCATGTGAACATCTGTTTGATGTGGAAGGTCTTCTTGGGGCCTGGGATGGGGGTGAGGGGGGAGGTGTAGGGGCAGGTGTAGCACTTCCTGCGGTTGCAGGGAAAAATGTCAGGAGTGGTGGGGCTAGTGGGGTATGTGGAGCGGACAAGGGAGACACGGAGAGAATGGTCCCTCCGGAAAGCAGATACGGGTGGGGAGGGAAAAATGTCTTTGGTAGTGGGCTCAGATTGCAGATGGTGGAAGTGTCAGAGGATGATGCGTTGGATCCGGAGGTTGGTGGGGTGGTACGTGAGGACGAGGGCGATTCTGTTTTGGTTGTTATTGCAGGGAGGGTTGTGAGGGATGAGTTGCGGGAAATGTGAGAGACACGGTTGAGGGCATTTTCGACCACTGTGGAGGGGAAGTTGCGGTCCTTGAAAAATGAGGACATCTGGGATGTCAGGGAGTGGAACGCCTCATCTCAGGAGCAGATGCGGCAGAGGTGAAGGAATTGGGAATAGGGGATGGCCTTTTTGCAGGAAGGTGGGTGAGAGGAGGTGTATTCTAGGTAGCTGTGGGAGTCGGTAGGCTTGAAATGGATATCAGTTTCCAGGTAGTTGCCAGAGATGGAAACAGAGAGGTCCAGGAAGGAGAGAGAGGTATCGGAGATGGTCCAGGTGAACTTAAGGTTGGGGTGGAAGGTGTTAGTGAAGTGGATGAACTGTTCGAGCTCCTCGAGGGAGCATGAGGCGGCGCCAATACAGTCATCAATGTAACAGAGGAAGAGGTGGGGGATAGGGCCAGTGTAGCTTCGGAAGAGGGATTGTTCCACGTATCCTACAAAGAGGCAGGCATAGCTTGGGCCTATGCGGGTACCCATGGCCAGCCCCTTTGACTGTAGGAAGTGGGAGTTTGGAGACAATGGGTCGACCAGGGCAGTCAGGTTTGTGGATTTTGGGAAGGAGATAGAAACGGGCGGTGCGGGGTTGGGGAACGATGAGGTTGGAGGCTGTGGATGGGAGGTCACCTGAAGTGATGAGGTTGTGGATGGTTTGGGAGATGATGTTTTGGTGGTCGGTGGTGGGGTCATGATCAAGGATGCGGTAGGAGGAGGTGTCGGAGAGTTGGCGCCTGGCCTCGGCTTTGAGGAGGTCAGTGCGCCATACTACAACTGCGCCTCACTTGTCCGCGGTTTTTATAGTGAGGTTGGGATTGGAGCGGAGGGCTGCACATTCTGTGGGGGAGAGTTTGTAGTTTGGTGTTAGTCAGCATGGGCATTTTCGGCCAAAAGACTTGTTCCTATTGTTTGACCCTATGACACTATTAATCACGGAAAGTGGAAGGCCATGTTGAGACAGCAGTTAATAACAAATGTAGCTTACTTGGATTTAATATTTACGGCATAGAGTACAAAAGGAAGGAAATTATGTTGAAATTATGTTTTGATGAAGGATCACTTGGGTCAAAACATTAATTCTGATTTCTCCCCACAGATGCTTCCGTACCTCCTGAGTTTTTCCAGAAATTTCTATTCTTGTCTCTGATTTACAGCATCTGTAGTTCTTTTGGTATTTATTTGGAAATTATATTAAGCCTGTATGAAACACTGGTTTTGACTCAAAGCGAAGAATTGTTTTCAGTTCTCAGTGCCACACTTTAGAAAGAATGTGTAGATGTTAGACAGAGTGCAGAAAAAATTCACAAAAAAATCCAGGCATAAGGAACTTCAGATTGGAGAAGCTGGGACTGTTCTCCCTCGGGACTGTAAGGTTGAGAGGTGATTTAATACAGGTTTTCAAAATCATGAAGGGTCTGATTAGAGTATATGGTGAGAAACTGTTCCTACTTTTAAAAGGATGTTTGACCAATGAAGCATTAGATTTTTTCACTTATGTGTGAATAAATATACCTTTTGGTTTGAACCCATAAAAGACTGCTGCTGGTAATTTTTAAATTGACCACATATACTAACGGCGAGTTGGAAATACACGCATTTACCTTTTCAGAAATAAACCTCGCTAATTATGAATGAAATGGAAGGGAACAGAAGACTTGTGTTTATCTCGCCTCCTTCTGCAGAACATTTTATGTTACAAACATTCTATAAACGCAAGTTAATGCTGTCAATGGCTCAGTCCTACTTGCATCCTCCATTTCTGCACTGACTAGGATTGAAACAATTTCTTCTCTACGTTATTTCTTAAGTGAGCAATCATTGTTCTGGAAAGTATTTTCCAACTCTTAAGGGTGTAGCTCTCATTCTAAATCCACAAGCTGGTCCATTAAAATGTTTTTGCCATCCATACTCAATAAATTGTGGAACTGGATGCCACATACCTGCTTACTTGTAAAAAATGATAATGTAGTTGTCTATTTCATTATTTTGCATGATTCTTGTAATGATCAAGTTTGTAGTGATAAATAATTTTCAATAAGGCATTGTTTTGTTCAAGCAATAAGTAACATATGTTGGATGATTTTAAAAAATCTGATTAATTTCAGGAATGTAGTTAAATATAGGATGTGCACTTTATTTATGTACCTTTTTGATATTTTAGTTTATAGTTTTATTTTTGTTATCTAGACCTTCTAATTATTTAGGATATCCAATGGATTCAACAAAACTGTACAGGCTTGGTTGGAAACCCAAAGTAGCATGGGAAGAAGAAATTAGAAAAACAAGTATGGTTATTCTTTGAAATATATTTTTAACTATAGCACATTTAAGCATCCTGTAAGTTTGCCTAACCAAATATTAAGTGTGATAATTAAGCTGGCTGGCAAATGACTCAAATTATCATTTATTTTTTGTTTCAAGTATGTCCTGATGCACTTATCTAGCATTCTTCTATTATTATCTGATGGATGTTTTCAGTTACACAGAGGGAAATTGAACATCACTGTTTTTCCATTTACGCAATGAGCCCAATGCAAGGCCAGCATTGTTCAGTCCTATTGACCTTTGAGAAAGCATTGAGGTGCCTTCTTGAACCACTGCAGTTATATAGTGCAGGTTTAATTAAATTGTTGTTAAAGAGGAAATGCCGCTTTTTCAACTAGCAACATTGAAGAAACAGCAATGTAGGATGGTGAGTGGCTTGGAGAGGAACTTAAAAATGGTGGTGTTCCCATTCAGTCTGCTGACCTGGAATTCTTCTACAAGAAATGCAAAAAAAAAATTATTTTAGTTTCAATAATTAGACGTTGTCTCGTAAGTTGGATATATTTTTACTGCAGTGTCCTGTCCTAGTTGACTTAATGAATATATATCGACATACATTACAGTATTTTGTTTTCAAAACTATGGTAACATGCATGGAAACACTTTTGTCAAGTTTTTGGAATGAAATTTAAATGTCCAGTGTTCATTACCATTTAAAATGTGGCCATACAGCTGAGCCTTAAAAGAAAGTCCAAGCACCTGCTAAACCCCATTGATTGATAGGCAACTGGCTTTAAAATGGTAGTGAAACACTAGGTGCAGTTCAAAGGCAAGGTAATCTGATGTTTTAGCTTCAGTGAGCTTCATGTTTAGCATCTTCCAGGTAGCCTTCATCACAAGGAGACCTGACAGAGGTCTACAAAATTATGAGAGGCATAGATAGGGTGGATAGTCAGAGGTTCTTTTTCCCCAGGGCTGAAGTTTCAATTACAAGGGGGCACAAGGTCAAGGTGAGAGGGCAAAAGTTTAAGGGAGATGTGCGAGGGAAGTGTTTCATGCAGAGAGAGATAGGAGCCTGGAACACACTGCCAGAAGAAGTGGTGGAAGTGGACACATTGGCAACAAGTAAGAGGCATCTGGGTGGCTAATTGAATAGGGAGAGAATAGACGGATACGGATCGAATCAGGGCAGAAGGTTTGTTTTTTAGATTAGTTAGGGCATGATGATCAACACAGGCTTGGAGGCCAACGGGCCTGTTCCTATGCTATACTTCTCTTTTGTTCTTTTGAGACACGGTGGTGCCAGTACGCACCCAACCAGAGGATGAGCCACGTACAGGCCCTGTAAGCATCTCTTGTCAGGACATTCCAGAGGTGGCTAGAACTTCCACCTCTATCCTACCAGCTCCCTCAGCATTGTCAGAGTTCAAGCCAGGGAGGGTGTACCTGCATATGGGCAGGTCATACTCAGCATGTGTGGGTCACCTGATCAAACATCCAAGGTCAACAGGCTCCACTGTAGGGCAAGCTCCCTCAACACCAGCTGCAGACCCTGAGACTGCATTGGGACATACTGGCGGGGAGAAAAAGAAAACCTTCTGAGGTTGCACAAGTGGGACCTTGTAAATAAGATTTCATATTTATAAATACATATTCATGTTTCACCATCAGCAGTGTGCGCAAGTGTCTGGTTGCAACTTCACATTAGACGTACTGAACCCATCCATCCTAGGTGCAGTCTACACCGAGTGCAGTCTATGGATAAATCACGAGTGACTGCTGAGTCTATTACTGGGCCCCATCATTCCAGGTAAACAAACATTGCTGCTGTATCATAGACAATAGTGGGATTCAGTCACTGCCTTGCATGATCTGTATAAGAGTGCCTTGGCAAGGATTAGGCTCAACTCAGCAGACTAATGTTTCGAGAACCTGAGGCATAGACTGCTCACAGGTGTGTTTCAGCCTTGCTGTATGGGTGGTTGTATGGTGCTGTTGCTGTTTGAAAGGCCTCACGTCACTCGAAATTGAAGACCCCGTCCGTCACAGATAAAACAGCTAGAGCTCTGGGTCTCGAAACTTCAGCAGTGGTTAGAGACATTGTGGCACATCCGTGAGGCTAAGAGTTATGTGGATAGCACATTTAGAAAGGTGTTCACAACTCAGCTCAAGGGGCTAGAGGAAAGAAAGGAATGGATGACAATTAGACAGTCCGGAAAGAACAGGCAGTTGGCGCAGGAGTCCGTTGGCATCCAACTGACTAAGCAATATTCCATTTTGGAAGCTGATGAGGATGCTGGTATCTTGGACTGTGGGGCGGTGGTGGAAGAAGAAAGGAAGAGCAGTAGTGATAGGGGATTCTTTAGTCAGAGAAGCAGACAGGCTTTTCTGTGGCCGAAGACGTGACTGTAAGATAGTATGTTACTTCCTGGTTGCCAGGGTCAGGATATCTTGAAAGGGAAGAGTGATAAGTTAGAGATTGTGGTACATGTTGGTACCAATGAAATGGGCAAAGTGAGCAATGAGGTCTTGCATTAAGAAATCATGCAGCTAGGCAGTAGGTTAAAAAGCAGGACCTCAATAGTTATAATCTCTGGACTGCTCCTGGTGCCAAATACTAGTGAGTTTAGAAAGAGGAAAATAGGACAGATGAATGCGTGGCTCAAGAGTTGGTGCAAGACAGAGGGTTTTAGATTCTTGGATCACTGGGATCATTTTTGGGGAAGGTGGGACATATACAAAATGGATGGTCTGCATCTGAGCCACATTGGGATCAACATCCTTGCAAATAGTTTTACCAGTGCTGTTGGGAAGATTTCAACGAGTCTGGAAAGGGGAGGGGACACTGAAAATCGAAGAAATATAGACACATCATGCTACAACAAAGGAAGCAAGCCACAAAGATGTTGAGTGTCAAGAGAGTAAGGCAAAGCTGAGTGGTCTTTAATGCTAGGAGTGTAATGGGTAAAACTGACAAGTTAATAGCATGGATTGACACATGAAAGAATGATATGGTTGCCATCACAGAAACATGGTTGAGGGAAGAGCTGGACTGGCAACTTAACATTCTGGGTCGTTAGACAAGACAGAGGAGGTTGTAAAAAAGGTGGTAGTTGCGCACTCAATTAAGGTGTCAATTACTGCAATATGAAGAGATGATATCATGGAATCTCTACAGTGTGGTTGCAGGCTATTCAGCCCATCTAGAACCACACCCCTACCCTATGCCTGTAACCCTGCATTTCGCATGGCTAATCCATCGAGCCAGCACATCCCTGGAAACTATGGGCAATTTAGCACGGACAATCCACCTAATCTGCACACCTTTGGACTGTGGGAAGAAACTGGAACATCCAGAAGAAACCCATGCAGACACTGGAAAATGTGCAAACTCCACACAGAGAGTCACCCAAGGGTGCAGTCACACCTGGGTCTCTGAGACTGTGAAGCAGCAGTACAATATCTTGGAAGGGTCATGAAATTAGGTTTGTGTTTTTTTGGGGGCAGCTACTTTACTAGGCATGCATTGTAGGCCCCCAAAGAGTCAGCTGGAAGTAGAGGAGCAAATATGTAGACAGTTCACAGAGGTGTGTAAAAGTAATAATCGAGTAATTATATTAGGGAATTTCAACTTTCCCAAAATATATTGGGATTGTCATAGTGTTAAGGATTTAGAGGGGGCAGATTTCTTAAAGGGGAGTTTTTTTGTACCAATATGAAGTAGGCCCAACAAGGGACAGTACAGTGCTGAATCTAGTTCTGCGAAAAAAAGCCACATGAGTGTTCAATGTGGCAGTGGCCACAACATGATAAGTTCAAATTTGTTCTGAACAAATAAATAAGTGGCTTGCAAAAGACAGCTTTGGATGGGGGGATGGCAGATATAATTAAAATAAAGCAGAATCTGGTCACAGTAGGTTGGGAACAGCTCCTTGTGGGTAAGTCGACAGCAGAGCAATGGCGGGGGTGTGTGGTATTCTAAAAGGAGCTGAGGAGAGTACAGAGAATTGTCAGAGCAAAACATTCAGACAAAGGAAAGGCTTTTAGTAAGTCCAAAGGGAGCAATTCAGCTGTGGCCCTTGAGGAAAACAGGAAGTGCAAGAAGGAACTTAAGAAAGCAATTAGAAGTGCAAAAAAGAGACATGAAACATGACTTCTTAACAGGATTAGGGAGAATCCTAAGATATTTTATAAATACAGTAAGAAGGAGAAGTTAACCAGAGAAACACCAGGACCGATTAGGGGCCAAGAGAGCAAATTGCATGTGAAGCTGCAGTATATTGGAAGGCGGGGTGTTGAATGAATACTTCTCTTCAGTCTTCACTCTGGAAAAAGAGAACATAGGTATGGAGTTCAGGAACATTTGAGGTCGGAAACGTGGAAGTATTGGAGGCTCTGTCGGGCTTAAAAACAGAGAAATCCCCTGGCCTGGATAAGAACAAAGAGCAAAGAAAATTACAGCACAGGAACAGACCCTTCGGCCCTCCAAGCCTGCGCCAATCCAGATCCTCTATCTAAACCTGTCGCCTATTTTGCAAGGATCTGTATCCCTCTGCTCCCTGCCCATTCATGTATCTGTCTAGATACATCTTAAATGACGCTATCGTGCCCACCTCTACCACCTCCGCTGGCAACGCGTTCCAGGCACCCACCACCCTCTGCATAAAGAACTTTCCACGCATAGCTCCCTTAAACTTTTCCCCTCTCACCTTGAAATCGTGACCCCTAGTAATTGAGTCCCCTACTCTGGGAAAAAACTTCTTGCTATCCACCCTGTCTATACCTCTCATGATTTTGTAGACCTCAATCAGGTTACCCCCCGCCTCAACCTCTGTCTTTCTAATATAAATAATCCTAATCTACTCAACCTCTCTTCATAGCTAGTGCCCTCCATACCAGGCAACATCCTGGTGAACCTCCTCTGCACCTCTCCAAAGCATCCACATCCTTTTGGTAATGTGGTGACCAGTACTGTACACAGTATTACAAATGTGGTCGAACCAACAACTGCAACATGACCTGCCCACTCTTGTACTC